CTTACTGCACTTGGATTCGACCTTTAATTAGGTTTATAAAGGTTGATTGACTTAAAATTGCGACCTACTTTTAATAATTACATCTTTCTTTTCAGGTAATTTTCATTATGTTATTATAATTTATTAGCCTTATCGCATAATTATCTTTACTTTCTCCGTGTTGAATATCCCGGTGACTCCCTTCGCCACTAAAAGTTTTCATGTAAAAATCAAACAGAGCAAAAAATGTCTCTCTATTTCTGTAATATTATAAAAAAGACTGGCCAGTCATTATAATCAGCGACCATCTTCATAAACTCCGATGGAAGATCAACGTTAGGTACGCTCCAGAAATAATTATTCAAAGGGCAAAATCTTTTTAAAAAGTGTATGCAACGTTTTATAAGAAGCTGTGGATAGCAAAAATAATCATTTGGGTGATTTTCAAACCCATGGAGTGTACCTTCATGACACACAGTTATGGGACCGTACATAGTTTGTTTAAAATTATGGTCATTTAAAGTCTCCCCACTACGTGGCATCCGAAAAGTCTTTAACGACATACAAATATCGACAACAAATATACAACAAAGTTTGTTGCGTATACCAATTAAATCCATTATATTCAGTAGTTTACCGCAACTTTTTACATAAAACATCGTTACCATTATTGCCCAACACGTCCTTAATGATTGTATATCATTAAGTCCTCGACCAAAATACCAACTATGTTGAACACTTTAAAGATAAGGCGGTAAATGTAAACAGGCATATCTAGTATCAACAAGCCAGTACTCATGCAAAATAAATACAATTTAGATTGTAATTTTCTGAAAAAAAGATTATCATAATCATAATCTTATGTCAAATATAATCATTAAGGTATTTCCATACTTTTAGATTCTCTAATTTAATTGTCTCCAAACTTTGCACCAATGAAGTACAGGTGAAACTGGTAATAAAAATGATTTTTTTTGATATGGTCACCGGTTTAGTTTCCTCACCACAGCCAACTGAAATATGGACTAAAATGCTAGAATTGGATATCGCAGCGCCTCTATATAAATAAGTTTTCAGGCCCAGTATATCACTCCTGAGGGGGATAATTACACCTGTTAAGATTTTAATGAAGAGAAAAGAGAATATTTTTACATTTTTTCATACATTTATTGTTGTTTCTATTTTTAGAACTGACCTCATCATGTTTCTACGCCACCTGGTGGCCAGTTTGGAAACCAACAATTTTACACAAAATTGGTCATTGTACCCAATCCCTGAATTTAATTTTCATGAAAATGAGCAAAAACACTCTCCTATGAGTACTTCATGACATGATGTTAAAAAAATAGTAGGTCATCAGGCTAAATATTGAAATATAGTCAATTGAAATTATCAAAAAAAGGCAAAAAATGCCGAAAAATGTAATGTCACCTCAGTTCAAGCCCCAAATATACATCACTTCAACTCTATAGCCCTCAAAGTAGCATTCATGGTATTTCTCACTATATTTAGTTGCTGAATATTTCATAATTGAGAATATAATGAAAGACAGGGGGGATCCAGGGATTCTTGGGAGGGGGTTCTATTTAGGGAGGGGGTTCGTGAAATTCACTTTTTGATATATTTCAGAACAATGAAATTGCACTCACAGCACTCATTGTTTGTGCTTATTGCAAAAATAATTTACAAGGGACTGCAGTGTCTTTTTGTCCTTGATGCTGCAGTGGCTCCCTCTATACATGCAGTATGGAAATACCTTAATCATATATTTTTAATAAGCCATGAAATGAGGGTTAAATGTAATGGATAATTTTTCAGTCCCAGGCTCTTACTAATTTACGCTGAGACTTTGTCATTAAGTAACATTAAGATGTTTAGTGCATGTCGGTGTCATGTGTGACATATAATTTACTGTCATCCGAGCGATATACATGTATGCCAACAACACCTTGAGCTTCGAGTAAGGTATCTCTATTACCAAGAGATTCCTTACTCTCATTTGAACGAAAAACACGATTAAAACCGAATGAAGCCTTTATCACCACGGTCACATAATAACATCTGTAGGAGAGCATTCACATCGAGAAGAGCAGAAAACTAGCAAGGCCGAGACCTAAATATGGCGGACCTACATGAAAGGAAGCCCGCGTAAATCTTTAATGAACTCTCAATGAAACTCAATGAATGTCATTGAGAGACCATTAAAGGATTATGCGGTCTTCCTTTCATGTACGTCCGCCATATTTAGGTCTCGGCCTTGCTAGACCTCGGAACTTCTCGATGTGAATGCTCTCTAGGTGTGTGTGTGTGGAGATTTTAGCATCAGTATGTCTCCAGGCGTATTGCACCAAGCGTTGTATTGTATCTAAGATCCAACATACCCTCCACCAGGACTGCAGATTAATTATTTGCACCTTGATAGCGAGTGGAGAAAAGTGCCATGAATTTACCACTGACATATCTGTGAATATCCAGTGAAAAATCAATCTGCGGCCCTGGTAGAGGGTGGATAATATGTTGGATGCTCAATATTGTATAAAGGAATCTTTTTGCTGCGTTTTTTATATAGGTTGAGATAAATGGGGCGGGGTCTTGAATATGTATGACGAAGTTGTTGCCTTCATCTTTTGCTGTTATGCTGTTACGTGTTGTAATCTTTCATATTATTTTATTTACTGCTTTCCTGTTGGTTTCGGCTTTCTTAACATTTCACTCTAGCTCATTCAATATCTCGCGTCCTTCTTCCCGTTTATATTACACGCAGTTGTATAAGTACCATGTCAATAAACTCAGTTACTCTACAAACACTCCCCTCTCCTTATTCACTCACGGCTGTCAATTACTAACATTAAATAATCTCCCGGGGCGATATTCCTGTCCCTAGCCATATTTAAATTAAAATACACCTTAAACAATCCTTCTTTAGCACTCCATTTTGTTAACCATATATTGATGCAAAACAAAACTAAGACTAGGTTCCCATACCTAGATCGATCTAACAGTTTCTATCCATCTCAGAGGGGATTCTCGCTATAGTGCTTTCAACTTAAGTGGCTTAGATATCTGGCACGCCTAAATGAGCTGTTAAATGATGAATAACTACCCCATAGGAGCTTCAGTAGGCGTGACAGACATCTAACCCGCTTAAGTTGATTGCAATTTAGCGAGAATCTCCCTTTATAGATTGATCCACAGTTAGTACGATAGGGTCTGGGAATGGTCCCTAAGTAAATACAGTCTATAATATTTATAGTGAACTGAAATATGAAATAGGAACATATTCGACATGAAACCAAAATTATAACTCTTAGGCTTCATTCACATGGACAGTCTATTTTCTAAATTCTATTTTCTATTCGCGGCATGTCTTCTGATCACGGTCTGTGCCCTGAATATCCCGCGGCGTAATTACTGGCAATGTGTCGTGTGTATAGCTTCTTCATCTTCTTCGTCTTGTTGTTGCACAAAATCGACAAACACATTTTTTAAAGCATGGACATAATAAGAAACCTTTCCTATTTAGGTCCAAGTTCAAAGCAATCGCGGTCGCCATTAACTTGCTAACTTCCTACTGCGCATGCGTCAAGGTATCAGAATCTCCTCCGAGCACAGCCGAGAATTAATTACAGCTTTGTATAAGTAACTGGCTCGCGCTATGCCGCGGGATATTCAGGGCACAGACCGTGATCATAAGACATACCGCGAATAGAAAATGGAATTTAGAAAATACACGGTAGACATTGCATGTGAATGAAGCCTTAGGAAGATACACTGACAACGTCTTGGAATATGCTTATTCTTGGGCGTATTTCGTATTGAAATTACCATTTACTATACTTTTTAATATGTGGCCCAAGAGTACAGATTTTTTATTTCTTAATAGTTATCCAATTATGACAATAATCTGTGACTCTCTTATCCTGACTATGGCACATTTGCTTATGTAGTGTTTCCTCTTTTGTTTGTCATATTGGATGTTATTGGAAGGCACCACTTGAGATAATCGGGTTAGCTACCCCCTGTCCAGTGAAGAGCATTCACCACAGCGTTACGACCAGTGCATCGCTGATGATGAAGTACCTCTTTATCTTCATTTTTATCCACACTGTAGCACCCTTTTTTGATGACTATAAGAGAAACATTTGTTTATATCAAATTCAGTCCACAACTGCATAACACGTACTGTACAGATTACAAATTATTGCCACAACAATGTGAAAATTTTTCTTAATGTATATTAGATCACCAGTTTCGTGTCATCATCGTTACAAAAGATACATTGTAACATATACTGTTCATTTACCTTTAACTGTCTGATTAAATATCTATTACCAATAATCACAAAATTGATAGGTTGAATATAGATATATTTGTAATACATTACGCGTTTAATATTCGATACACAATACTTTTAAAATTACCAAATGCAATATCACGATTCACATGACTCACGTTTAGATCTTAACTATCTGCTATTCATTGTAGAATGGATAAATGTCTTATTCGCGTACGTTGGATCACGTATTGGTAAATGTTCTCAGTTCCCTGTATATCCGTAAATGCCATAAGTCCAGTGTTTACAAAATATCCAATGCGAATGACTCACAAGTACAGGGTACATGCAAGGAAAATAATTACATGTAGGAACGTCCTCACTCCCTTGTATGCACCTAAGTATTATACAAACTCCAAGCATTTATTATTGTTATTTCTAGATGTATCCAGTATTATGGTTTCTGTTGGTACACCTTACGGTAGTACAGGGGTGGTGTGCAGTCTATCCACACTGTGAGGCATGCTTCGTTAGCACTTACGGAGAAACCAGAGAACAGGATTTGTGGACTTTGATGTGCAAACTGTTTTCATCTAGTGTTAAGTGTTTGCATTTATGTTCGGGAATACGGACTTTGAACAAGACGTTGGAAGTACTGGATCTCAGCCACAGTGTACAATTGTTTGAAGATTGCTCAAGTACATGCAACTTCAACAGCAGTGACACTCCTTCCGTGTATGAAATAGACATGTCATTCTCTGCACAGTACGATAGGACTCCTTTCAGCAGAGGACTGACGTACATGCTGAACAGTATGAAAAACAGTCTGCGGGTACTTAAACTTCAATATGCGTCACTAAGTTTGTATGAAGAAATACATTTTTCGAGCTATCCAATGTTAAAAACCCTTGACTTAAGTGGCACATTTCCTTTACTAAGCAGAAGTGGCATATCGCTAGATGGATCCACTTCCCTGCAGACGCTGTTCTTGGACAATAACCGTCTGAGTGAGGTTCCTTATGAGATACGTAATATGAAATCACTGAAACATCTGTCTCTGCAACATAACTTTTTTAACAAAACGGCTTTGGATAAATCCGACATTTTCCCATTGTCGTTAGAGTCACTGGATATCAGTAACAACAAATTCAGTGGCGCTAAATTTAGCTGGATGAATTTCGTAAATCTGCAATCCTTGAAAATGCAGAACACCTCTATTCATTCTTATAAATTACTCGCGAGGCTCGGGGCTATGTCCAATCTGGAAATTTTAGACTTGAGCACCAATGTATTAAATATGAATTCTTTGACTAGTATTACAATGTTTCCGGCATTGAAGATTTTTAATACCTCGTTTAACAGACTGCTGTTTGTGCCTACAGCAATTCAAAGATCACCTTTACTTCGTCAATTATACTTGCGATCCAACAGCCTAACGTATGTTGCTCCTGAAACTTTTATGAAAATTTCAAAATTAGCCGTGTTGGACCTTGGAAGCAACTTAATTAGTGCCTTGTCGCCCATTGCCTTCTCTGGTTTAGAGGAAAGTCTGGAGTTATTGTATTTGGACGGTAACTTATTGAATACACTAGACAAATGTGCCATTTTACCTCTCAAGCGCTTGCGTAGACTTAGAATCGGCGGTAACCCATTCCATTGTGACTGCAAGATAGCTTGGCTGCGTTCATACCGTGATAAAGGCGTAGATATCGACTTAGACAGGGTCTTTTGTAAGAGCCCAATAGGATTTAAGGGGATGGGTGTCAGCGGCTTTTCTATAGACGGTTGCACCCCCTCACACTTGACTTTGGATATGAAAGACTGTTTTAAATTCACTTCGCCGACTAGCAATGCGGTAACTGAAACATCCCCCAAGCATACCGTAACTGAAACATCTCCAGAGCATACCGATAGCACCACTCTTGATGAACCACTACAGATGACGACACCACATGACGTAACACAGGCGAGTGGGGAGGAAGCCCAGCCTTTGACCTCATTGCGATTTTCAAGGCAGGCCCTTGTCTCAGTTTATCTTGCGATAGGATTCAGCGCCACATGTCTTGCAATTGTTGTCGTCTACGTTATTGTCACTGGGTATCGATTTTATAGGCAATGTCGCGGTAAACAAAGCAAAGCGACCACTAAAAGTGAGAGGACCATGTCTGGGGTACAAGACACTAATTGTACCGAGGCCGGGGAAACAGGACCGTACCAAGAACTGGAGAGCGTTTCTCCTTACCAGAATGTTGGTGATTTAAACCGAGCAACTGAAAATTCCTACGAAGCTTTGAATCCGCACACAGCAATTTAAAAAACTGAAACGCAGATAATGTTTAGTCGCTAGCTTTGGATTATTCATGTACATTGCATTGTAACTTTCATGATAAAGAGGAAAACGTGGTTCAAGTTGGGTTGACGTCTTCCAGAACCACAGATTGATTTTTCACTAGAAATTAGCAGTTATGTTTCGGGTTAAATTCACAGTTATTCTCTGTACTCGACTCATGAAAAATGTCTACATAATAATAACAGCGGCCCTGTTCGAGGGCATAGTAGGGTCAAGATACCCTACCAACGCAAAAGATGATATAACTTCCTTTTCCTGCTTATACTGCTAATAATAAGAACTGCTCTTGCTGGCAGCTAAAATGTTCATATGACCACATATCACATTTTATGTAGCCAAATGTTCACNAATTTTTAAGCCGGTGACAGAAATCCACAGCTGCAGTAGAGAACCTTCCCTAAACTGAAATGCAGCTGTCGGGCTGTTAAATTGTTTATTTTAATGGCCTTCTAGCTAATACATTATAGGCATTGTTGTTGTTTTTTTATAGAATTTTCATGAATTATGGGGCAAAAAGAATGAAGAACTGTATCGTGTTACTGGGAACAATAAAACTACAGTGCAAGAATGGATTTTTATTTTTCACCTTGTGCCAATTGGTGAATTTCCAGTTTTTGAAGCTCTGCTTTTATAGAGGCGTGCTAAAACCTTTATTCCTTTGGAGGGGGGGGGGAGGTAGGTATGAAATTTGTGGAAGTCTTAATTAAAAATCTAAAATCTTTATATGTTATTATCAGGGAAGGATTCAGAGATATTTTCTGACAGTCTTCCAAATTATCTTTGTTGATCCATCCTCCATTTTTGACCGTCTTCCTGCAGAAAAAATCAGATACCCATCAATGTAAACTTGAAAATCTGACCGTCTTCCGGAAGACCCAGAAGATGGCCTTAATCCGCTCCTGATTATTGTCATGTGCAATAATTCTCTTTCCTGAACCAAACATTGATCTATTTCCAGTTGAACTTCTTGATCTGCCAGCTGGTGGCGCTGGGGTTGGGCTATCCATTCAGGACAGTCTTTGGTCCTCTCCAAGCCTCTCCGGCACTGAGGAATGGAATCGAAATTTTTCTAGGGATGTTTCTCACTTATTTCTGCTTTGGACAGTAAGTGGACTAAACCTCTAGCCAGCCCTTAGATACTGTATTAGTACCTTTTATTATTTAATATTGTTAAACAAATGATAAAAATGGTAACATTGTGTAAGAAAGAATGAAGGGATTTTGGGATCTATGAATAATTGTATGTAAATTATTGATTAAATGTTGCTTTTAGCTGTTTGGCAAAAATTGCACATGGTTTCTTATCTGAAGCACAAAAGTGAAGAGAAAAAAAAACTTTTTGAGACATGACAACAGTTCTACCATTTTACAAAAGGTTCTATCATACATAATATTATAACTCAAAAGTACTTCATATTCACAAACTGAAACAAATTATTCCAGACAAATCATCCACCCAATCCTCCAGTCCACCCTCTGCCTGCTGATCATGAAATACGCTGACAGAAAACAGTTCCACCTGGCCAGCCTGTTGGTCTCCATGGGGTACCTGTCTGTGACACATATCTACAGGATGTTATATGACTATGGAGGTTACAGTATGGATATCACAGGGTAGGTGTACACAGATTGTGTCTGTGACACATCTAACACAATGGGGTATTTATCTGTTATCCATATCTACAGAATATTATATGACTATGGAGGCTACAGTATGGATATCACAGGGTAGGTGTACACAGATTGTGTCCGTGACACATCTAACACAATGGGGTATTTATCTGTTAACCATATCTACACGTCATCCAAACTGATGTGTTTCATTAGCGTACAGTCAACTAAAATAAATACTCTTTTGTACAGTTATTCTCTCTATATATAAACTGTTATGTCCTTCTCTCTCTCTTTCTTGCCATGCTGTTAAATTATTTAAGTATTATTGTCATTACAGCCCTCTCATGATTATAACCCAGAAAGTCAGCAGCCTGGCCTTTGCATTGCATGACGGAATGGAGAAAAAGGAGGAGAATCTCTCAGAAGACCAAAAGAAACAAGCTATAAAGTATCAATCTCTCTCTCTCTCTCTCTCTCTCACACACACACACACACACTTATCCTTTTCTCCCGTACATCTGTCTGTCATTATTTTTCCCTTCTTTTCACCAAATAAAATTTCTGAAAAAACAAATAAAGTTCAGTTCATTCTCAAGTTAGATTTGTGTAATGCTCAGTTTAAATACATTTCATTAGGTCACAGTGCTTTTGTTCCTTATCGGTATTTTCCATGTTTTCATATCCATATTAGTTTATTTTGAGTTCCAATAAATACTAGATACAATATCTTCCACAGGCGAATTCCCACACCATTGGAGTACTACAGCTATATCTTCAGTTTCCACAATGTAATGGTGGGACCACTGGTTTTCTATGTGGACTATAAGGCATTTATTGAAGGAGAGGATATACAGGCACCCCAGGCCACAGAGGTAGGGAGAGGCAGGGAGGGAGGGAGGGAGAGAGGGAGGGAAGGGGATTTTCCTTTAGAATAGGCGGGAAAAATGGGGACTTTGAAAGAACACCCCTGTTGTTAAGAAAAGATGGAGAAAAGGAGGAAGGAGATGTCAGGTTGAGATTTTTAGCTGTTGGTAAACTGAAAAACCAAATCTTCTGTGCCAGTTGATGTCATTGTTAGATGCTATGTTTTTCACATTCATCAATTTATCTTTACCTACACTTTCACTTTCAGAATAACCACAAAGTGAGAATTCCGAACCCAGTGGTGAGTTTTTCTGAAGTCTGGCTTATTATCAGATCATCTATCAGAATATTTAGCTTTTATCACATTGTGAACATAAGATTAGCATCTGGGGGCATGCCAGACAATTAAGCAGATTACATTGACTGTGCCTTAGCAAGAATTCCCGCTGAGATAGATCAATCCTGCAAGTACGATAATTGTTATTCTGAACATGGCCTAAGAACACCTTGTCAATTCATGCTGTCGTATAAAATGTGTTTTCCCTTCTGCCCTCCACTAATCAAAATATTTAGTTTTTATCACATTGTTACCAAGAGATTAGCATCTCTGGGAATTTTGGGTTGACATTGTCATTTTATGCTGTAGTATTAAGTATGTGTTTTCCTTTCAGCCCTCCATGTTTCCAAACCTGATCATTACCATCGTCAACGCTGTCCTCATGATGTTTGTCCTGCCGCTTGTGCCATCAGAAAATATACACGGTGAGTTATCTGGAAGTAATGATGAAATGAAGTACTTTTTTTTCCAGAAAGTGATGATATGACAGTTTGTTGTATTTATTATTGGCTTAGCCTGAAATGTCGGAATCTTTTTCTTTATGTATCGTAAAAAAAATCATATTAATCAAATACTACTAAAATTTCTCATTTAATTTGCTTGTCTTCCTGATACAGCATGGTTTGGCAACTTGTGAATTGATATTAAACATTTTATCAGTGCTTACGTAGAACTCTCCCTTTATATGACACAGATATAGCGTGGTTTGGCAGCTTGTCCTTCCTGCAGAAGAACCTCTATCTCCTGGTCAGCTTGTCAGTCACAAGGAGCAAGTACTACTTTGCCTGGAAACTGGGTGAGAGCAATGTCTATGTGTGCATATACAAGTTTTATTTATTTATTTAGTGACTGTCTTTAAAGGTTGACCTCAAAAATTCTTAAAACTTGCATTTCAGAGGCATATAGGTGTTTAAGATAACTTGAAATAAGAATTTAATTTGATTAGATTGTGATGGTGCATAGATTAGAAAGCACTAAGAGAATATGTGAAATGTGCATGCTCATACGTATAATATGTGTATATATTTAATATTTCGGGTTGATTGAATTTGATTAGATTATCATGGTACGTAGAATGGAAAGGACTTAGAAAATATAGTAAACATGCAGGTATCGGTATTTGTGTATGCATTGTATATTTCAGGCGAACTGGTCAACACCTCCGCTGGCCTGGGGTTTGCTGGCTATGACAAAGAAGGGAATGAGAAGTGGGACAGACTTAATAACATGGATATATGGAAGTTAGAGGTATGAAAGTAGCATCTGAAGATTCAGAAAAATAAAGGAAGTTACAGTATTTTATCTCCCAATGTGTCTTCTGTGTAAATGTGGGGAGGGAGAGCCATGTGTCCTTGTACATTTTGCGGCTGTGATTTTTTGTTAAATCCTTAAGAGACGTTAAGTTATCAGATGGAAATCTTCTGACATATGGCAACTGACTGAAATTACATGACTACTTATGTTGCCTGGCAACTGATCTCCCTTGGCAACTGTTGAATTTAAGAGAATTATAAATGTACAGCACACCTCCTATATTACTTGTTATGGGGAGTGGTTGTTATTGTCAGTTTGTTTGTTATGGGGAGTGGTTATTATTGTCAGTTTGTTTGTCAGTTTGTGAGAGTTAGTCAGATGGCAATCTCTTAGAGTGCATTCTCAACGAATTAAGCCAGGCTTTACAAAGCCGGTGACCTAAAAATGGCGGACGTACATGAAAGAAAAACCGCCTAATCTTTTAATAGTCTCTCCGCCTCTCACACGCCTCCCCACACGTCGTCCCTGCGGGGTACAGTAATTAAATCTCGGCTCCGAACATTAATATTTCCGTGAATATCTCTGGTGATATTATCTCCGTAGATAGTCGATTCATTGCTGCTCTACGGGCCAAATTATTCCTTTTTCGTCTCTGTTTTCAAAGATAATAGAACAGAAGAGCTTTTTTCCTTCGATCGCCTTCAGCCGCCATGCTTTCTTCACCACNCGCCATTTTTAGGTCACCGGCTTTGTAAAGCCTGGCTTAATTCGTTGAGAATGCGCTCTTAGTTGGATGGAATCGTTAAAATGAGAAGGTGCATCCCTTACAATACAGATAAACTCTCTGAATCAGTAAATTCAGTATCTATTTCCAGACATGCACTAGCATCAAAGTCAACATCGATACCTGGAACAAGACTACCTTGATCTGGCTCAGACGCATCGTCTACGACCGCATACCTTTCCAGAAGACCCTGGCAACCTTTGCTGTCAGTGCTTTCTGGCATGGTTTCTACCCTGGTTACTATCTGGCCTTCTTCAGTGCTGCCATCTTTTTATTTGCAGCTAGAACGGTATGTTTTGCACATCATTTTATTTTTTCTTTATGTTAATATTCTAGAGAAGTGAATCTCAGTCTTAGCCAGGCTTAGCAAAGTACAGTGTAATAAAATTGAATTATCATAAAATATGTTATGGTCTGTTATCATTTGCTGTTATATAGGTTCGTAAAAACATCCGTCCATTCTTCAAGCCTGACGGAGATCAGAGTACAGGTGCTGTTCCATTTTTGTATGACTGTGTAACTTTCATCTTCACACGCATGGCCAATGTGATCATGGTGACGCCTTTTGTAACGTATGGATTTTTCCCCAGTCTGTTTGCGTATGGGTAAGTTGTGGGTTGTTCAGAGAGAATGAGATGTGTGTGTGTGTGAAATAATAGAATAAAAATTTCTAATTTGAATTTGTATGTGTAAATTTGGAAATTTTTTATTATTAATATTTCAATTTTGTTTTTTTTTATTTTGATTTTTTTATTTTATTTATTTATAATTATTATTATTATTATTTTGTAATTTTTATATTTTGAAATTCTGCTGAAATATTTATATTTTTACTGGAAATCTCACACTCTTTATTTTGACTTCTCTCTCCAGCGCCATCTATTTCTGGCTGCATGTTCTTTCACTGGCAGCCATCTTTTTTATCCCCCAACGAAGAGTAAAAAAAATTGAGAAAAAAGAGGCAGAGGAGGTGAAGACACAGCCTAGTGATGAAAAGAAGGAAAAAACAAGCTGATTTCTTATAGCTTTAGTGTGGCTCTACCCCACTTATGCTGTGTTTAAGGCAGCTTTTTAATTTTTTTTTCAAGCGATTCAATATTATTCAAACCCAAGAAGGCTGAGAAGTACAAAAACCAACATGATATTTAAGAACTATTAAATGTAGCTTTTTGTATTTGTAGGTCTCAATCAGTATTTATTCAGTGTATCATTTTTATTTTTAAAGTAGTATCATTATAAATTGTAAAATTATCCCCACATTTCCAGTACTTGCTCAAGCAGGAATGATACCACAGTAAATATTATTCTACTTCATCGACATGCAAGTGGTGTCATTTTCATAACAGTTACTTTAGATTGAAGAGTTGTCACAGTAATCTCCTGCCCTGCAAATCTCGGTCACTTTTTATGCACACCAGGGGTCTCCACTGTGCATTTATGAGCACTATCAATGAATTTAGTTTGATATTAATGAATACCTGGGTCCAAGTCACTAGCACTCACTGCATAATTTTTTAAAATTAAATAATGGATTATTTATTGCATATTTTATTTGCTTTTTATTAAGACTTTTGTTTCAGTTATTAGTGATTCAAAGGCAATTGCTGTTCTACGGTATAAGACCTCGGCATTTTCCCTAAAGCCAGGGCTAACAAAATTTAGGTTTTGGGTGAACTTTAGCATTGCCTGAAGTCCAAAGCAAGGAAAAGGTGAAATATTACTCATTGACAATTTCATCTCCAATCTTTGATTTGTGCAATTTTTATTTTGTAGCATGATTAATAGTGTTTTACTTAATACATTTATTTTACGTTGTCAAATCTGAAGGGAAAATGATTTTAGCAGGTATGTCAACTGAAATGTTTAAAATATGTGAACATTGATACAAAATATATTGAAGAGTTGTCACAGTATATATTGATACAAAATTTAGTATGTGTGCAGTATTGACACTTACACTATGCTAAATGCCAGTGAAAATCGAATCTCTGCTGATGAAATTAAAGGAATTGGTTCAATAAAATGTTTTAATAACTGGTCATCAGACTGTTTTTGCTGTGAACTAATTTATTCCAAACACCGTTGGAGTGAAGGTTTGTGGTTTCAGTGTTTTTTGCACAGACAATAAAGTTGATCTTAAAGAGTCAACTTTAGCAGATCTATACGTGTGTTATCAGTTGGCATGCCTGTTACAATAGTGATAACTTTTACTGATACCTCTGACAGAATATAAGACACTATGTTGATGTATTCTGGGGCTAAGAATGACTGTAGTATTACATACACTTTTAAATCTCATCGCTAGATTCAGGGAAATTAAGAATCATACGACTTTTTTTTAGTAAGAACTCGTATTAAGAGGTCCACAACATATCAAACCCAGATAAATCATCTCACCTTCTCTGTCATGAATCGTATCCTTCATGTTTGCTTTCTGACAAGTGCCTTATTGTTCTGTTAAATATGAACATGCTTTCTCTCAAATCCTGTAACGCATTGTTACCCTGAGCTTTTTGTGTCCTTTCATTATCATTTCTCATCTGACATCCCAGCAGGCACTGTTCTCCCAGCATGCACGAACAAAACAATGTGCCGTCCTGAAACAAGCTTTTACTCACAGCAACTGTGTACATTATGTATATATCCTATGTTGTCATCCTGGATGCTATTTGTCACTAAGAAGGAATTATATGCTGATCTTGGGTTACTTGGTATTGTTACGTGGTACGAAACAGTGCTACAATAGCGGGTGCACAATACTGAGATAAGAAACGAGCCAAACCCAAACCATCTAGCTACAACTTTTAATATTGCTTATGGCATAAACTGGACAATCAATTCCTTTATATAAATGTATGGAATTTGTGTACGTAAGAAATCTTTATAACTTCATCTTGAGGTGCTTGATGTGACAAGTGATATATCATTATGTGAGGAATAATGCCAGAAAGGCAAACTTCTCAACATTGCACAATAAAAAGATATTTTAATTAAAAAAATATGTTTAAGCGTGATAATTTGTGAAGATTGGTGTTGATCAGTAAAGCTATGGTACATTGAAAAAGTCATCACTTCATCTGCTGAAATATCAGTGTTCATTGTCTGGCCACAATTAAGTTTCTTTTTATTTGATATTGTAATTTATGATGGAAATTGTAATAAAACCTGATAACAGAATCATGTCAGTTCATTTCAATGCTGTTCACATATAGAAAGTTGTGGTTAGTAATGTAAATTTCATTTATTCAGATCATAGAATCTTAAAACTCATTTATCTCCAAAAGTAATCTTTACATTTTTGTTTTACCACAATTATATTACATAATTTTTAAACTTCACAAAACAGACAATTCTGTTGTATAATTTCTACCACAACTTTAACAGGGTTCGTTTAAAAATAAATGGGTGAAGTTACATGTAACACTGCAACTGCCAGTGATGCACACTGGGGAAGATATGATATCGTTTAAATTGATAGATATTGTAAATTTCTACACATAACTCACATCTACAGTCTTTCTATTATACATTACATATTGACATGTATTGTGGCTCTATACATTTATAAACTCATATTGTGGCCCCACCTATAACATTTCACAAATATCTTCACATGGGGGCCTCTCAAAGACGGGCTTTACATGAAGCTACCACATTTATTTCCAAGACAGTCTTCCTAAGCTGCTGCTGCTGCCATCTATCGGACTAATGGTGTCTGCTTTAGTTGCAATAAGATGGAACGCATTCTGGAAATATCTTTTGTAGTTTTGGAACCTTTAGGATTGAACTCGCACAGTCGGCAAATCTTCTCCCACTCGCCTCCTGGAATTGTTTCATCTCGCTCTTTGACGAAATCTGCCTCCGCAGCTCTAGAATAGAGAAAAAATGTCTTAGGTTTCAGATAATAATACTCAAGTCGAACACCCAGTGCTGAATCCCATGGTCACTTATAGTTCTGCTTTCATGCATTTTTGCATTTAAAATGCAAATCATTGGAGTTTAAAACTTTTTCCTTAACGTGATTTCCAAAATTTATGTATTTTAAAGTGTAGAATAATATATACAGCATGAAATAGGGGAAAGAAAGAAAAAACCCATAAAATTGATAAAAATACCCATAAAATGTTCAATATCATCAAGAACCCTCCACTCACAGATGAATATCAACAGAAATCTGTTGTGTATGATACAGAAAAGAATGGGGGAAGTAAGCGACCTGGAACCTACTAGTAATACTGGTCAGGAATATTTGATGGGAACCATTTCAGAGAGCCAAAAGTCGCGCACCTTCATGTAAAAGCATGGTGGAGAGAGGGACCAGAAATAATGGCAGACAACAAACAAAAGCTGCGATGTGTTTTAAGTTTGCTTTATCAATTATACTCTTATGTATTTGCATTCACAATTCACATATTTTTTTAGATATCAAACAACAAAATGATCATACAGAGTCTTCAAACATGGCTTTGGATTGTGAAAAAAAAAAAAGGTCCTAGACGAAATGACAAGGAAGCCTTGTGACTGGAGGTCTGAGAGATGCCTACGATAGCAAACCACAACACCAAGAGGAAAATATGAAGAAGATTAAACATTTTAAATTAAAGAAATCAGTTCTTTTAGTTATTTATTTTTTATTTATTTATCATTATTTATTTATTTATTTTGCATTCTCTGCTCTTAGCCAATGTTGACTTTGTACAAAAACTTCACTAAATCTGCAGTAGTCAGGTGAGTTGAGGCGTATCAGCATGCAATGGTACTAGTAGAATGATTCAACCCTTGAAATATTCTTATCAACCAGTTTTCTGTCTTCAGCTCTCACATCCATTCATGCTTGTAGTATGCTCCCTAAACGCAGCTTTTTAGGAAGGTCCTTAAAACATTGTGCAGTTTTTAAAACCTCTCCTTCACCAGAATGATAGATAAATAAACTTTGTATAAACCCTGTACCCATGCCTTCCATTCTTACCCCCGTTTCTCCTGCAGTAGTCTGAGTGACAAAATTCAAAAATCAAAGCTAAACCACAAAACAACCAAGTACACACAAATGAAATCAATTCTGGATTGACAGTCTAACAAAAAATTGTAAAATAAAAAACATAATTTATCTTTCAGTGCATGAAATATGTTGCTTGCATATGATTTTTTAAAAAATCCATTTTTGAAAAAAACAAACAGAAAAATAAAATCAGGTTCCCAATTTTTGAAAATATCCTATAACATGTTCACTTCAATAGATGGTTGAGGTGATATACAAATAAACAATTCCCCTAACCAAAAAGCCAGTTTGTCTCTGTCTTCCGTAGCTTTTTTACACACGCATGTACACATGCACGCAATCAAATTCACTCTCAATCATCCATTTCTCCAGGCAATTACAGTCTCCTTTTTTTTTTGTTTTGTTGCACACATGCGCACGCACACACACACACATACACACACACAGACCTGTTTGTCTCCTTTGTCTTCTGAAGTTGCTCCGCCCTATGTTTATACCAGTCTTCCATCTCTTTCTTGGCCGCCTCGCGCCACTCTTCCTTCTTCTCTGCCTCGTCTGCATCTGGAATACAAAAGTTGGTAACATTAAGAATCATGTGCTTCATGAGATTTTTACCAAACATACAGTCCTCCAAAGTAGTTTTATAACATTATTATCATTATTATCTTATTTATTTAATATAATTTTTTTAGTTTAATCCACAGCTGTATGATTCACATTTTCTGAAAATATATTGTCAAATATTATTATCTGTCGAAACAAGGCACTACTGTACTTTTTTTTTCTTCAAACAAAAGGAGAATCAATACTTCTTAACAAAAAACATCTTCAACATCAGATCTACTTAAGAGCCAGTGGTTTCATAAACCCTGGCATACTGAAGGGTAAAAAGGCTAAAAAGATGTTGGCACAGACTGCAAAAGAATCTTTCTTCACTGAATGAACTGCTGACTCTGCTTTGAGTCCATCTCTCTGTGCCAACATGAAGCCTGGAGAGACAAACCTTTTTTCTCCAGACGTTCTTTTTGCTGTTCTCTCCAGAGGCGAATCTTTTCTGGTTCTTGGCGCTGTCTGTCGACCTGAGATATGGCGGAATATGTATCAGAGGGACCGTTCATCTGAAATAAAGAATATCAGTAAAGATGTATACAAACTGTACATTGCATATGTAACATTGAAGTTTTTTTTTTCTTTTGTAAAGAAGGCATAAGGTTTTGACCTCAAAAATTCTCAAATGTTCCTTTTATAAACGTACATTGGGGGACAGGGGGCAAAATAAAACCCCATATTATTCTTCACTTTTAAAAAACCGAGTAAAATAAAATACCAAGTTGAGGCACACATGCTAAGCTTACTTCAGCATAGCTCTGTGAGGAGTTTGTGCATTAGTTCAGTTAAAAATACAAAGATGAGACTTCTATACAGAAATTAGCAAAATAAAATTCTAAAATAAACAAAAGAGGAAATTTCTGTAGAAATCATAAGCAATATTAGTCTTAAGTAAATATAAAAGTACTTCTTCATCACAGCCTATCACCTGACAGTGTAAGAAATGAACTGTTGTCCTGTAAATGAATCCCACATACCTGGTAGCACACATCATGTGACTATATGGATTATAAGATCTATCACCTCAATATATGGACCATTCTCTCTTTCTAAAGGAGTCTGTTACAGCTACATCTAGACACCTATATTTTGTTACAGGAGTGTAACCACTACCTCTAGCCACCTATTTTTTTGCTACAGCAATATGGGACCAGTGCTTTAATTTGCAAGCCAGTAAATCAAAACTCTGACTGCGTTCCCGTAAACCCATTGTACCCGCTGGGCCGATCCAACTCTGCAGGACTTCTTGCTAAAGTGTTTTCAGCATTATCAGCTTAATTGTCTGGCATGCTCCCTTGAGTAACTAGGGGGTAATTAACTAATGTTAATTACCCCCTTGCAGCTTGAAAAGTTGTGCCAGACATTTAAGCCCAAAGCACCCTACCCTGTCCCCTGTATTGATATAGTATCAATATTGTATTAGTATTTCCT